TTCTCTTGTACCATTTTCCTTATAATTGCCCCTTTGGTGCTGCTGTTGGTTTCAATGGGGCAAACACAAAGATCTTGTATCGGAACCTCTATACTCACCCAACAACAACAAATCTGTGCTTACCAGAATTAAACAGGGATTTCCCACACCCACCCACACTCCCATAAAAACCTGCCTACCACACATACATCAGGATCTGCCAGGACAGATCTAGGTACCATAAACTATGAATGCAAGACTATCCTCAACAAGGAGCGGGACATTTTCTGTGGTAGCTCCAGTTCTTTTGGCACCCCTTCCACTAGAGGTCTGTCAAGTACAGTCTTTTCTCTCTGCTCATCAGAGGACAATGAAAGCTTACAATTTAATTTTATCTTCAGCATCTAGATCAAATAAATTGTTGTTGTTTTGTTTAATCTGCTTTGATTGCTTTACTGTTGCTGCTGTTTAATTAGTCTTTTGCCTACTGTGCTTTCAGCCTGAATTTGTTTCAATCACTGATTGTTGTCGTTTCTTTTAATGTTAAATCACTTCAGGAGCTGTTATGATTGAAAAAGAGCTTTAAGTATAAGGAAATTGTAAACATGATTTGCAGGTATTCTGTTTACATGGGCTGACCTGCTGCAAACCTGCACATTTATAAGTCCCATCAGCTTGTCACAGCATTTTTGACCTGTTCAGTCCCCTAACATTTGCACACACATACCATGTTCTGTTCAGCAGACCTAGGGATGCCAGCCTCCAGGTGAGACCTGAGGATCACCTGGAATTACAGCTCACCTCCAGACTACATAGTTCAATTCCCCTGGAGAAAATAGATGCTTTGGAGGGTTGGTTCTTTGGCATTGTACCCCACTGAGGTCCCTGTCCCCCCCAGGCTTCATCCCCAAATCTCCAGGAGTTTGCCAACCTAGATCTGGCAACCTTACAATTCCCTTGCTGGTGGCCAGGGAGACCTGGCAACCCCAATTTAGCATTCATTATTGCATTTCTAGAAATAAAAAGTTTTCTCTACTCCAAAATACATCTCTAAAGGAAAAAAGAGGATACAGGTTAGGAAGATGAATTCATCATGCTGATATTAAACAACATCCTCCCTGGGCATTCTGAAATGGGTGGCTAGGTGGTTGTTAAAGAAACCCCATTTAAATGAAAAACATCTGTGGGCCCTGATCCAGAAGAATTTTGTCATGCCTAAAAAATCCTTTTAAAATCAATAGGACTTAAAATAAGCCTTGACTGAGTTATCCCATTGACCGATTAAGACTTAGATATGACTAATTTTCTCTGGATAAGTGCCAGAGACACTACACAATAACACAGCATATTCTAAAGAGAGGAAAAAATCAAATTCTCCCACCTCCTTCTGTTCCAAGGATGCTTGCCTTTCCATCGATCCCACATACCAGGAGGTCCAACAATTCCTGAAGCCAGGGACCCACTTCCTTCCTTCCCATTCTGTGATGTCTTGCCCCCACCCCAGTTATCTGCATCCGCCATGAAGTTCCCGGAATGTCAAAGTTGCACTCTTTAGAACAGCACAAGACCTTCCAGCTTGACAGTGTAGCAATGCTTAAGTGTAGAGGAAAGGGTGAGCAGAAAGAAGACTCATATGGATTTTTTTTCCAAAGAAAACTTGACTTCCTTTCACAATGGTTTAAATATAGGTCTACTGTGAATTGTAATCACTCTTTGCTAGGACAGAAGCTTCCTAAACATGCCTTCCCCTTATTGGCATGAAGCATTGCTTGATGACAATGTTATGGAGAGACATATAGATTAATTTGCATTTTTAGATCTCTTCTTCCAGTGACATCTTATCAAGGTTGGCTTGATGGCGAAGGGATGGCATGCTAGAGATTTATCAAAGTAAGCATGGAGAAAGTGGACAGAGA